AAGAACCAACTATGTATAAAAACTCCAGTTCAAACATTCAGGGGTGGAAAAGGATGGGTGGAAAAGTTGAAATCAGTTCACTGGTGGGGAAGAGGGGGGAAACCTCCTCTCTGCCAAGCACAAATGACCACAATGTCAATGCAAAGACATTGCACATGGAGCAAAGTTTAAAATCCAAGTCATCAGTCTTCGCATTGCAATGAATCCAAGTTCTCTGGTTAAGGTCAAAATCCGGGTGCAAAATCTCTCCAGAGGCTTCTGGAAGAGTTGCAGAATTCATTTAATGGTGTGAGAAATATGGGGTTTTGTTTAGTTCTCCCTCCAGTTAAAGTTGTCTGTTGTTAATTTGGTGTTCTAATGTTTTTCTATAGCCAATGTCTTACACTGAATCCTGGTCTTATTGTTCAGCTGGTCCTTCTTTCGTTTTTTTGCAGCAACATCACAATTCAAGTTGTTGAAGATGTTCTCCTTGTTGTACTCCTCTTTCCAGCAGTAACTGGGAATGACACAAGAAAAGGGGAAAGGAACTTGAATCTCTTATGCAATCTGCATTACCATTCCCCCCACTCCTTCCTAAAAAGGAATTGGAGTAGAAACATAAACAGTTAAGTTTATGCATGCCCCAAAACTGCCCTGGCTGGCAGCCTCTTCAAACAGAGCAGAGGAATCTCTTTTTCCTAGAAATAGTGGCTAACCCACAGGAAGGTTAGTTGGGAACCATTAATAATGGTGAGTGGAGCCAGAAACAGTGATGGGTGGATGATGGCAACATTACAGAATTGCACATACTCCCCTCCTTCATAACCAGTAGGGCTGTCCACAAAGTATGGTCAGATGGAAGCCACTACAGTGCAATTGCAGATAAAAAACAAGTAGAGCTTTGATCACAGTGCTCTGGCTGCCATCTTGACTTTTTTTTACCATACCCTTTGGACATCCCTGGACTAGCCAGCATAAAAATGTGGGGAGAGGAGTATTGTAAAAAAACAGGAAGGTCTTGCCTTAAAATGTAGACTAGAAAAAAATTAGATGGGCAGTTAGCTTTTCCTACCCACTGGATCCAAGTTTATTGTTCCCACTTCTCTTTGCATATCCCCACATGAAACTGGATTGAAGGCTGCATGCAGTCCATGGAGTTCCCACTCCATTTTTAAAAAATTGAACTTGGAATTACCCAAGGAAGCATCTTTTCAATATATTCTATAATGACCACCAACTTGGGTGGCCTTAAAAGAGGATTAGATACACTTATGGAGGACAGGTCTTTCAAGGGCTTGTCAAGAAGAAAGTGTTGTTTCTAGCTTGGGGGCAGCATGCCTCTAAATACCAGTTGCAGGGGAACCATGGCAGGTGAGCGTTACATCTCCATTCCTAGGAGATGGAACACTCCAGAAGTAGTTGATAAGCCCCTCTGAGAAAAAAAGATGGTCCATGACCTGATCAGAGGACTACTCTTATTCTATGTTTTTACTCCCAATTTATACATTCCTCCATGTATAAACCCTCACATCTTAAGATTTTCAGGTGGGCACCCCATAGCTGCAAACTTTCATCAGTGATGGCCCCTTCCTCTAAAATTCCATGCCCAGGGTAGTTAAGATTCTTTCCTTCTCCCGCTGATTGCCTTTCTGTTCCAGATCAAAGTACAGGACTGGATCTTCTCTATATTCATTCTACTTAGGCCCCATTGATGAGACCCAGTTTAGAGTAGTAGTTTAAAGCATTAAGGTAGAAACTGGAAAAATGAATGTTCTAGTCCCCCCTTAGGTTCACTTAGCCAACTGAGTGAGTCTGGGTCGTTCATTCTCACTCAGCCCTAGAAAGCAAGCAGTGGCCAACCACTGATGAAAATGTTGCCAAGGAAACTCCAGGAGTGAACACTAACTCAAAGGCACAAGGTCCCACTGAAATTGAAGCCCCCCCGCCCCAAAAAATTCAATTCCTTTATTGGATACCAGTGGTTTTCAGTAGTCTTCATCAAACCTGATGCCCTCTAGGTGTGTGTTGGCTGAAGGTAATGGGGATTGTAATCCAATACATCCAGAAAGTGCCAAATAGCTAATGATTGGTTCTAAGATTTTTTTAGAGTTGTTTACATATTTATATGCTATTTTTATCTGAAATGCATTTTATAGTTTGGTTTTATCTTCATAGTCCCAATTTATCATGCAAAGGTGATTAAGAAGGATTTGTTTACATCATTCCTTCTTGTTTATGGTCTCTGATCTTTCTTGGTGAGCCAAGTTTTCCTTAACACGACTTTTATTGGTTCTGTCTTCCTTCCTTTAAGCACAGGAGTTCTTTCTTCAACAATTATATGTTGCACCTCTTTCTCTTCCCTCCTCTCTTTCCTCGAAGCTCATCTTTTAAGCATGACATTTGGCTTACTCTCTTAATCTTTATCCCCAACTGCAATCAAACTTTATGCCTACACTAATAGCATCTGCCACATTCTGTCTTCCCAAACTTTGCTTCTCCTCCCTTTCTTTTCCCCACTCCTATTTTAGATGATTAAATCCTTTAAAGGCTTGAAAGTTGGATATCTAGACCCTGCACACATTGAGAATCATGTCCAATATGCAATAAAAAAGATCTGATTTTCAATAAATAAATGAGTATATATTGACTGTTGGACAGGAAAGCAGGCCTGTTCTGTACTAAGGTGCCATTGATAGAGAAGCATCTTCCTCTGGCTTTTACCTTACCACCCAAATATTTGGAAGACAGAGGAGTTACAGCTCAGTAATATAGCACATGTTTTGCAAACAGAAGCAACTTGTTCAGTCCTCAGCATTCTTAGGCTACACTGAAATGTCTGAAACCTTAAGAAGCCCCCTCTGAAAAACATAAAGATTGCCCCAAGACAAGCTTGGCTCCTGATTACTTAATGGACATGTCCACATACAGTAGTTGGTTTGGTAACAGTACACCATCACCACCTTCTGGGATGTTTTTTCAACTTCTCATCTTACCTGGGATCTCCTACTGGTCTCCCTTGCAAGTGCTAACCAGGGTTGACCATAATTTGCTTTTTTCAGAGTCAGCCAAGTTCTGCTAGGTGGTATGACAGCTGAGCATTATCAGTCAGAATAAACAATACTGATTTTGGTGGCCCCATGAACTGACTCAGTGACTGGTCTGCACAACTTGGCTGAAACTGGGTTACTGAGATAACCCAGTTTCTGCATCAATACAATACACTGAACCATAAACTAACCCAATGGGCTGAGTTTGTACAACACAGTAAGCCACCAGAAACTAGCCTTGGTTAAAACTGCAGATGTAGTCCCCAGCTCTTTAACTGACCTGGTTAAATGTGTTGTGTGAACCCAGACAGCAACAGGCAGCTTTGCAGGTTCATGTAAGCCCCATAGGCTTGTCTAGTTACACTGTTCTTCTAGCCCCACCACTGCAGTGATCAAATGCATAAGTGCTACCCAACTATACTATTGCTCTATGAAAGTCCAGAGGAGTCAAAGTTGAAGGAGGGAGAAGAATCCTTGTGGAGGACCTCAGAGTTGTTCTCCATCCTTGGTCTAAATATCCTGGCACTAGTACAGCAACCAGATCAAGGGCAGCCCATGGAATATATTCAAACTTCAATTATAAGGGATCCAACAGCTTCTTTTGTAAATAAGTAGAATACATAGTCCACCTACTCAGTTCCCTGGTTTTTGCATCATCACCATTCTGACTTTGACGTCGCATTATTACATGGTTCATTGCAATCGGGAAGGGAAAGAAATTAAATAATTATCTAGGGTTTTTTTAAGGCTAGTTATAAATAATTTGAACCACAAAGCAGTTCCAGAAAATGCCTCATCCAGAAGAGGATACTTCCTGGTACAAGATACAGCTGCCATTTTCTCAACCAAAGAATTGAACGGTTAGGCAATCCCATTTCTGCAACCATAACAATCATTAAAAAGGAATTGCACAACAAGGCCCATGACCTTTGTGTAATACTCTTGCCCTTCCACTAACCACCTCTTGCTCATTTGATGTCACAACTTCCTGCTTGTGTCACATCTAGGACATATTGCTGATACCTTCAGGCACTGTTACGCTCATGTCTCATGTATTTACAAACTGCAATTCAGACTTTGAAGGGCTAAAAATAATAGCAGTTTGCAAGCAGGATGATCGGCGAAAGCAATGTGGAACTAAACCCGTCTACACATCCAGGAAGAATGAAGATCCAGGAATTCTATCAGCTTTCCCCAACCTTGAATCTTGTCATTTCCCTGTGTACCTCCCAACAACTACATATATAAAATGTCTTAATTTATCACTCCTAAAAATCTTTCCATTCCTTAAGCCTAGTGTAAGTTAAGAAGAGCAAGAGTCAACAAACTGTTTGCCACGCCAAGATAAAACAACTTACACTAGCTTGATTGTCTTTCTCACCCTGCCAAGCAATGTAAATGTTATATTGATAACCTTCTAATTCTTGCTCACATTATATTATGCATTTAAGGGCATCACATTTTCTATATAATGAAAAAATCAGTTCCCTCCAACAGTCCCAACAGGTTCTCTCAGAGCCTCCTTCACTGCAGTGACTGAGGTCTCATAACGTGTGTCCATAAAGCCTCTGGAGCAGTGTTTCTCAACCTTGGCAACTTGAAGATGTGTGGACTTCAACTCCCAGAATTCCCCAGCCAGCATGGGGAACTAAATGAAGAAGTGTGTTTTCCTTACCCCATGGCTGGGGATCTGTGGGTACAAAAAGGAGGTGCAGAGGTCAGGACTATTGACCTGTTCCATGCCACAAGTCATACCTTAGAATAATCTGCTAACACAAGTAGAAATGCACATCTGGCTTAATATGGATCTGAGATTTCTCTTTCTCCTGCCTGTCCAACACACTTCACTATAGCATCTACAATACCATAGATAAAACTCTGTGGATGTTTGCGTGGAAGAAGATCATTCTCCAGCAGCTCAGAGTAGGATTGAAAAGCTGCTGTTTGAAGTCATTAAAGGGTAAACAATAGATAGATGAATCATTGATCCGAATCTCCGAATCTTATATTAAGAGAGCTTCCTATATTGTTAGTATGCTATCCTGTTCTTGTTTTAGTTATATTTGACTTAGACTTCTATTTTCTACTGCCTTTCTACCGAGAAGTACAGAGGCAAAGATGGAGGATCTATTCAGTTCATGGAAATCATAGCGTGCAAACTGATTGATCTATGGTATTGCAATAATCATCACAAAATGCAGAAGTATGCACATCTATCACTCCCAGGATGACTTTTATTTCAGGCTAACTGAAATAAAACTATATTCTCAGGCTAACTTTGTGAAAATTCTATTTATAACTGTTTAGCCCTATACACGAAGCATTCTTATTTACATTGACGTCTGTTTTATCATTCCAATTAGAGTGCCAAAGCTGTTAACATTTTAAGTGCTTCCCTAAAAAAAACCCCAACAGATCATCCATAGCTTGTGCTACACAAAGATATCACGTTCCTGCTTACATTTGTAAC